TAGCAAATGTTTCATGCACGCGTAGTGCGTTTTACCTTCTTGTGTCAATAGCGCCTCGAGCCACCACTTTTGAATGTCATTGACATACTTTGTGTATATAAAGCGCCAAGCGGATTTACCAAACCATGATGTAACGCGCGACAATATAAGTACTAATTGTAGGAAGAAGAACAATTACACATAATGTATTTACGTAAGGTTACGTATGATTAAATTGTGTTTGTAATTGTTTCTTAGCTCACAATATATAGAAACATAGATATTAGTAAACATCTAGATACATTGTAATTTATAAATTAATCTACAGTTGTGTCTTTCCTTTTTTTCAAAATTCGTGACACTAAATATTATAATGAAAAAGTTGTCGGAAAATTAAGTAAATGTATTTTAGACGATAGTTTTGAGATGTAAGAGATAAATATGAAAGTTTTGAGATATAAATATGGTTAATTATTATAAATTGATAGTTACATTTTTATTTAGAAACTACTGCTTAAAATAAAAATTTACGAATAACTTTTTCACTTAATTTCGAGGATTTACTATAATATTTCGAGTTGCGAATTTTATGATACTCCATATGTACCATCATTATTGTATACATACGGCGTCTATACAACGAAATTTTAAGGCGTGAAACCTAAGCTTCAAATCATAAAAAATTGACCACTCACGGTCGAATGTGAGGAGAATAATCGACGATAATTTCTTACGAGATAAGGCCTAAAATTTCTGCTCTTATTAAAGGGTTTCTAAGGGAAACGAGAGACGAGCGAACGGTCAACCACCGCAGCCAGCAATGCGCACTGCAGCTGCAGTCCGCAGACTGCAGTCGAAGTTGCCGCTACCGCTGCCGTCACCGTCTGCTGAACTGACCGGCCGTCGAACCCGAGAATTGCTCCGCGAGAGATGCATCGTAATAAATGCACAAAGTGCCTCGCAGGCAGGGCGAGTCCCGGCATCCCGGCAGAGTACACATTTGCATCCATCCTCTGGCAAAATTCTCTCCCATTTTCTCTCTCTCTCCCTCCTTTTCTTTCTTTTGCCTCCTTGCCTCCTTACCTCTTAAATTCCACCACCGCGGATTCCGGTCTCTCTCTCTCTCTCTCTCTCTCCCCAGCATTCGCAATAATTTTTCATTCCGTTTGCATCGACTGTGTGGCATCGACCGCGACTGCAGAAAAACCCGTGATTTTCCAATCACGAATCCCGTTAGTCGCTTAAGAGGGGATGAATGGCTCTCCTGGTCCGTGGATGGTAGAGAGACCCTAAGAGGGTCTCTAGTGAACGGAGAGCATTAGCGTGCAGCATGATCCGTCCCCACGCGTAAATCATAGATCGAATGACAGAAGGCAGAAGATACCGTTTGCACGCATGCAAACATGCATGTCTCGAATCGCTCCTATCGGTGGCATCGCGTCACGTCGCCGTCGCGTTGCGACACGGAGGAAATTGCTACGGCTAATGAGAAGTTTAATGGCTTCCTGGTTTACATTGGTATTAGCGTTCAAATATACATATATTTTTATTGCGTGTCGATGGGATGTAAACATTAAACCGCAGTAAAGTATACACCTTACGCGCTCAGATCATTATCGTTTCGATTGTGATTTCGATTAGCGACGCGCTTATTCTAGAATGCTGATTCTACGTACAATAAGTCGGTAAGTCCTATCGGCGAAATTAACCAATAGCCAACTTGTACGACTAACACTGATTGGCCAACTTCACCGATTAAGACTAATCCCGGATCTACAATAGATTTTTAAGCCTTAAGCCATAAGAAATTGACGAATCATAGTCAATTATTCTCCTCGCATTCGACTGTAGTTGGTCAATTTCTTACGGCTTGAATCGAAGCTTAAAACACCCATTGTAGACCCGGACTTAACAACCTTAAAAACGCCACTGCTTCTGCAGCCGTAACTTCCGTTTTTATATGTTATGCCATTTCGTTGTTCACATCAACAATCTGCCTTTCCGGTTTTATGGCAAATTTGGCTGAACGCTAATCGCTGTATCTACTGACGTAATCGTAGTAAAAGCACGCCATACTGTTCTATTAGCATCGCTGACGTCATGCGAAATGAACGGAATCGTACGGCATGGCGATGCAACGGACGTAGGACTTGGTCGTGACAGTTCGCTACGTGCATGAATTATAATTAAGGATAATATCCGCGGCTTTCTGGTCAGCGGAATACCTGCATGTAGTTTATAGCGGATGCGAGTGATAAGACGATTATTTAGGGTACGTTTCCACCGAGCGCGTCACGCGTCGCGTCGTCCATCCGCGTCACGAGTTAACCAATCAAAATATCCCATTTTATTGTATCATTTGCCGTGCGATTCTTTGCGCACGCGATTGGTTAACTCGTGAACGCAAAAAATCGAACGAGGGTGTATATCATTTGCCTATATCGCTAATTGGTTAATTTAAAATAATATATTTGTATTGGTAAGCAATAAAAAAAAATACTAGGAACCGGCCGATATGAATGGTGTGTGCAATTGAACTGCGTGCAAATGCATCGCTTCCGATGAACGACGCGATGCGTGATGCGCTCAGTGGAAACGTACCCTTAGCATCTTCCCTCGGGCGCCGTTAGTTCTCTTGTTTTGCTCGCCTCTTCCGAGAGTATACCTTGGACGTACATACAAATGCGTAATGATATATCGCTGTAATAAAAAGCGCAGAGAAGAAAAGGATTTTATCATAGCGGAACCATAATTGCTTCCGCATTTTATACGAAGATCGTTAATCTTTTAAGCAATTATTTAATATTATATATAGAATAGGATTCTGAAAATATAGATACGCATATCTTATCTGAACGAAGTTGAAATAAGTTAAGATCAGCGAACCAGTCGCTTTCTTAGGATTATCTTTTTAATCAAATGCGCTTGCTACATTAGAAAATTATCTCGCATTAAGGCGTCACACTAAATATCGCGTACGAGAGACTCGCGAGAGCATTAATAATAATGACGAAAAAGTGGTGCTGATGAGTCGGTTGATGAGCCAATTTGCATGAAGCCTCTTAGCTACTACTGTACCCTCTATTTATCCCGGGGGGAGGGAGCAGAGAGTGAATACGTTCGTAATGGACGTGCCTTTCTTTCGAGATAGTCTTTAAGCAGATTCACTCTCGCGTAGAACGACCATATAATAACGATTCTGCTCTGCAAGCAAGTGGTTTGAAGTATCAGACCAGCTATAAAAAAGTCACTTTTCATGAGAAGAGCCGTAAAATGACTGCAGTGGCAGCTTGACAAACTAATGGCGAAACTTCTTCACGAGGGATCTCACGCGATTTTGCAATCCGCTTAATCGTGGTTCCAAGGAGTCGTATCAATTGTAATGAAAAGATGGAGGAAAAATCGCTTGTAAAAATACCTCAAATTACCGATAGCGTTTGACCAACATTAATGACAGTGGGGAAGATAATACCTTTTGCCATTCGTGAGGGATAACGACTCATCTGGGATCGTTAAAAAATAAACGTTAGCGTTTCAAATACATTTTTCGTCCCGTCCTTGTTTTGCCCGTGAAAAGCTGGAAAGTATCGTAAAATTTTCAGTATTTTAACATGCACATTTAGTGGAGAGAAAAATATCATTTTAATCGTTTTAAAGTCAAAATTTCATCCTTTAAAATGTACTCAGATCAATTGTTAGATACAGCCTCTTAAAAATCGGGAAAATTAGTAGGTTTTAAAATAATCCCCTGATTATTATGCGTGGCGTACACATATAAAAATACAACTTGGAAAGGATCGGTGTGTCTAACGAACCGGAGTTTAATAATCTTTCACGATAACCAAGCGATCTGTCGCCGTGAATTGTTAGACAAGCACCGGGTATATCGAGCAGGCAATGACCTCGAGCAGAGCCTAGTGCAGTGTTCGACCTCAGCAAGGATACTCGCAATCTGCGGTGCATCGGCCCAAGAGAGCCCGGAGAGACGTCGGATCGCTGACTTTACGTTTCACACACCCACCTAACAATAGGTGAACAAGGATCCCAGCAGCTTCATTACGATCGGGGAAGGGGATAATGAGGGGAACGCTGAGGCGGATCCCAGTGTCTTTAGTTATAATCCTGACCGGTCTTTTTTTCCTCTTGCGTACCAATTGCAAGACACTGCCACGCGATACGGACTGGCAAAAGGAAAACCAACTATGTACTTCAATCTTCCCGTGCTCTCTGTCATCCCAGTCGAGTATACTTTAAGTCCACGTTTTCATATTTTTACGCTAGTAAAAGATTCGTTTCTTTGAGTTATCTCCTTCAAGTCTCATGAGTGTAAAAGCATTTTCTACTTTGCCGAAATAATGACGCTGATAAGTAAATCAATGATTGTTTATATTTTTCTTATAAACATTGAGAAATGACAATCTCTAGTTTGTCTGCTTAACAAAAGTATCTCAAGAGAAAATTTAATAGACGTTTAGGCAGAAAAGAACATTGGAACGCGAATCGTTGTTCATTTAAAAGCCATTATTTCTGTTAATCTTCAATTTTTTAAGAATTCGTAATAGCCAGCTTTTCATGCAACGTTTCAACTCTATTTATAATTTAACAAGCTTGTTTTACTCGCTTTCTGGTCTGATTGTAATAATATTAATAATAAAACTTCTCGAAAAATTTTCTCCTTGTTACAAAGACTTTCACGATCGTCATTCATTAATAAAACAAACTTTCATACAAATATTTTATTAAATTTTAAATAAATTAGGAAATTATTATTAAATTTTATATACATTAGAAATTACTTTTTTATTTTTAACGCAATTTTTATTTTTCAGTAATTGAATACATTCGAAAATAACAGCTAATTAGTTTCAACACATTTCATGCAAATCACCCATAAAAATATAAAGATAATATAACACTGTGCTTCTTACGACACTTATTTTTTATTTCTTGAGTTCTAGCGATTGTAACATTTGTAATGAAGTTCAGAACTAATGTTTATGGTTCCGTTGCCTTTGTTTCAGGAAAACGGTGGCATCGAATATTTCAACACCATCGTGGTACAGCCACATCTAAAGTTGGTCACGAACCAGGGCAGAGGTTTTCACGTGAGATGCAGATACCAGACACGCGACAAAGTCGTAACGAACGATCAGACTCAAGTTTCCATGATGCAGTCTCTGCCGTTACAGGTAATAAAACATTCGACGAGATGAGATATACATTTATACACCATTCAATAAAATTAAAGGATCACTTATTTCATCCGTATCTAATTTTTTCATATTTAAAGACTTTTCCAAGATATAGGGCCTGGGTCAGACTTTAGAGACACTCTGTATAGATATATATATTTTTCGGGTAAACAAACTTTCAAGAAGATTGAAAGAACTAGATAAGGTATCATATAAACTGCGAACTGCCCGCAGGCAACCGCACCGATGCCGGGATGCACGATGAAGATCTTCAGCGGTGATCCAACGCAGCATCACGTGGCGGAGAATGTAAAGATTGGCGATCCCTTGACCCTGGTCATTAGCATCGACAAACAAGAGATGTTCGGTTTGAAAATCTCCGATTGTCTGGTACGCGATGGCCTCGGGTGGGGCGAGCAGCGGCTCATAAATGACGAAGGGTAAGTCAGCTTGTAGCATTGAAGAGATCTTAGATAAGATTTTAATAACATAGGCGAAGATAGTGACGATGTACAGAGCAAATTAATTTTTTTTTTTTTTTCAATTTCTTCCTTTCGCGATAGGATCATTCAGCTTGTCTTGTTCACAGTTGTCCGATAGATGGTGAAATAATGGGACAATTCGTCTACAACGAGGACAAAACGGAGGCCAGGGTAAATTTCCAGGCGCACAAATTCCCATATACGGCGAGCGTGTATTATCAATGCAACGTTAGGCTGTGCGTCAAGCAAGGCGGAGGATGCACTAACACGGTACTGCCGTCATTATGATAAATAAGACTAGACTGTATAATAATAGTCCTCCGCGATGATTGCTAAGTACTACGTTTATAATAATTCTTTAACAATTTTATAATGGCTAAATGTTTGGGAAATGTTCCCGGATTTATGAACGGTTTATCGTTTGAAAATATCGTGGCATTTACTTCATTAGCACGATTATTTAGTTGACCTTAATCACATTGTATGTTATACGTTACGCACGCGAGATGTTACGTAATATGTGATCCTATGAAAGAAAATACTCGAGCAACACATCAATCGTATCTCGAAAACTTGTCAAGAATAGTCAATTTTTTGCTTGCAGCCACCATTATGTAATTCGATAGTCAGACGACGCAGAGATACCGCTAATGCCCACGAGGCGAAAGGTGTCGAAGATTTGGACGGCACCCCGGCCACGATCGAAGTTTACAGTGGTCTTTACGTCAATGAAGCATCGGACGTTGGTTCCAAGTCAGACTTCTCCAGCGACGTCTTTCGTGAAAGGGTAATACGAATTTATTTGATTTCTGCTGCGGAGATAACATTAACTTGAGAGTAGCCATTCAATTTTTTTTTAAATAAATGATTACGTGTTTTTACATTGCAAATAAAAATTATTACTATACATATCATATGTTACGAATCCATCGGAAAAGACATGAATATGAAATATATCAATATTAAAATAATAAAATATATATAAAAATTCTTTAACTTGCGAACATAGTTTATAATTAATAAAATATTTTTGGAGATTTGTCCATCTTCGATTTTTTTGTCGCAAGATCACTATCTAAAAACTTGAATAACAGAATTTCTAAATAAAATGGAATCAAATTCATTTAATTTTATGATTTTCTGGATTTTTCTTTTTTAGGCTCTCGATGACCCGAACACCATTTGCATATCGCAGAGAAGTTTCGCTATTGGGATTGCCGCCGCTGGTCTCATACTCATGCTAGCTGTGGTAGCCGCCATCCTAATATTACTCGCCAAGAGACGGCACAAGAGCCTGTCCACGACGGGATCGTCCATCTACAGTGGACCGTACACTAACACCGCTTACAGCCACAGTAGCTAAGTCCGCCTACAGCACTTAATAATAACTAAGTTCGACGCGAGATTAAGATAGCCGAGATGTGGTTCTACAGTAAATCGAGTTACCGTAGAAATATCTAATTTTTTAATATAATGAAGTTGAAACACCGAATTTGACATGTGCAAAATTCTAGAATAGATTATCGATGAAATAAGAGAAAAAAATGTTGAAAATGTAACTTTTAACGTATAACCTAGAGTGACTGATAGAGGTCGGAGGCGCTTCTTTGACTGACTGCATACAAACATTACTATAGATTTCTCTAAAAATTAGGCACCTTAAATTTTCGGCACTTTACTGTAGAACCATCTTAAATTCATTGCGTTTATTGATTTTCATTTTGAAATTTACTAAATTCTCTATAATCTTAACGTTTTATATTGAATTTTAATCAAATCTTAACGAATTAATACTGAAAGTATGTCAATTGACGCGGATACCTACAACTCGCTGATTCGCGTAAAGTACACACGAACAGTCTCGTCAATGCACGTGCCTTAGCGCCATGTCTTCCGACCTCCGATTTCAGTATGCAATTTAGTAATATTTCGTTATTATTTATTATAATTTCAGTAACAAATTTCCATCAGAGGGTACAGGTATATTTAAAAAAATTTATCGCAATTGTTTTATAAAACACTTCAAAAATGTGTAACTTTCAAAGTCGCTATTTTGAATATGTATTAGTAAATTTTGAAATTCTCACTAGAAATTCAAAATCTTTGAAAAACAATTTCCAGACAATTTTAATATTTATAACAAAGACTATTAGATGTCTATAGACATCATGTGTACTCTGAAAGAGTTATAAGTACTTAAATCAAGCAGAAACAAAAACAGCCCACTAATTGATTGCACTTTGTCTAACTAATAACTTTTGCTGCGAATGTATCAATGGCAGTGGTATAACTATGAAAGCGTAATTAGAAACACATATGTGCGAAGTTTAAAGAAAATTATAAAAGTAACTAAGATTCAGTATGATGTGTGTGCATGAGATGATTATTATAAATCTTCGATAAAACTGCCAGTACGGTGAACGAATTGCCGCAAAGATGCAAAGCAATCATAATTTCGTAGAAACGAATTATTTAAAATCCGAAATCACGCACTTACCCCATAAATTATTCCAACGTATACGACAATACGATACTCGAATGAGTGTGACGTATGCAAGCGCTCAACATAATCAGATTGTAATTCATTTATAACGCTTAAACATTAATGTTAATTAGGCTAATTGAAATGAGACGCTGTTCCAACGTCAGTATATTCCGGATCATTCAGGAGCAATCATAAAGTAATATTTTCTAATGATAAGTGCGCTTCAAACGGTTCTAATAAAACAAAATTCAGCTTCGAATTAAAACATAAGAAAGTACATGTTTGAGGCACGCCGGAGAATACCGATGTCGCGACAGCTTGGAGCGTTTAGATATTAATTGACGAAGACAAGAAAGTTCTACTGCTAACGCAGTCGCATAACTGGGTCCAACGTGGTGATGGGTACATGACATGTAAAATTTTACATTTAGAGAGAAAGAGAGATCGACACCCGGCGTAACGTAACTGTTAATTCCTCAAGCACTTGTATGCCTCCGTGTAAGAACAAGATGTTGTGGTATAGTAGTTCTCTCTGGAAATGACAATGTATTGCGATAGCTGTTCCAGATGAACTTTGATGTATCGAATAAAATGCAACGCCGATGCTTACACGTTTTATCAGAAGCAGACAAATTAATCTTCGCCGATTAAAGGCTAAATTTTTCTTAGTGATAGACGTTCAAGTTTTCTTCTTGAAAGTTTTTAATAATTTTAATTGTTTTGAATATCATTTGTAACTCTCTCTGGAAATTCTTGGATCATGAATGTCTATGTTCTTAAAAGTGCTTGAATATTTGAAACATTCGAAAAATTGAGGCCCATCATCATCTTTAATGTGCTTGCGGGGATAAACACTCTTACGCCAAATATCGTTATTAAAAGGTGTCTTAAAAGTCGATACAGAGCAGAGTATCGGCCTGTTATAGATTTTAAAGAATGACATGTAGTAAATATGTTTTTCAGTGTTTTCTCAAATCTCTCAAGAGTATCTCGCATGCGTGGATACGGGCCTTCGAATATTGCGCACGAATTTACTCAGGGGCGAGATCATCCTTTCCTTTCATACTAAGTACACCAATAGGGTAAACGGTTTCCAGTCCTCCTAGTATTATATCCTCTCGAAAAGTGCAATAACTTCGAAGTGTTCCGTGGGTCCCGCGGAATTTCTGTCAAGGATTAGAATTGCCCGGCGAATGGATCATACGTGATTTCTCGCCGCGCCATGGCATTGGTTCATAGTGATCATTGGGGACGAAAATGCCTATATAGTACTTCTTTCTCGCGTTAGAAGGTGAATTCCGATGCTCCCACAATGTTCCTCTGGACCCTTGTCAAAATCAAAAGAATCTACAACGAATTTGTGTGTAAATAATAAACATTTAATAAAACTAATAATTGTAAGGTGTTCTCTCAATAGTCCTTCGATCCATACGATCTTTCTAAGCGAGTCTTCTTCTTATCGTTTAGTTCTTCGAATCAAAATGATCCGAATTTCTGTATATAACTTTACGGCATAGCTCGGATCTTATGCGATATCAATCAGAAGTTTGAAATCTTCTGTGTCAATTGAGATAATTAAGTTATTCGAAAACGCAGTACATGTATACCTGTTTGAAGAGAAAAAAATTATCTTTTTCGCATGTCGAAAAAAAATTATTTTTTAAATGCGCACTAGTACATATTATCTGAAAGTACTGCATTTTAAGAGTACCATCCTAAAATTTTAACTAAAAAATTAAGAAGTTATGACTACTTCATTTTATGCTACATTTCACTTCTTTTACATCTTCAAACATTTTTTTAACTTGTTATTTGGTTCGTAACGTTATCATTAATAAAATACATTCTATAATGTTCAAAATATATTCCATATTTTTTTTAGTATCAGACGGGTAGTTTTAGAAAGATAGCATCAGTTGGTCAATTCGGTCCAGTGTGATACTTTACAAAAATGTGACAACGAAGGATTAGATTCCAAATAGGTCCCTTGGAAAAAAACTTTTTTTTAGAACTTCATATAATTTTAGAATTTTCATGTAAATTTCAAAATATTTCAGATTTTCTGTATAATTTTGTAACTTTTTAGAAAATTTCTTAGATTTCTTTATACATTTTTCAGAAATGCTGAAAAAGTGTATCTTTTCTAAAAATTTTCATATATGGAAGGTGACCGAGACACTAGAAGCCATAAAAATGTAAACTCTCAAAAGTACTACATTTTATTTACTATTTTATTATTCGTGAAGATATTAAGATGATATTTTATTATTCGTGGAGATATTAAGCTCGAAACATAATCAAGTTCATTTGGAAGCATATTTAGGAGTATTAATTTATGTGTAAATTGTAAGTCAACGTAGATAATGAAATGTTACGCATTAAAAATTTTATTTACGCATTAATTCGACGCATTACTCTCATATACCCTTAATAACTCTACTTATTACTTCTCATTCTATAATTTCTGAAAAAAATTATAAAATCTGAGTTCAAGATATTTTTCTAGAAATCTTCATTTTAAAATATGACAAATTCTCAAAAATTTAGTGGACATGCAATGTCTTGAGAAAAATTTACCGAAAATTTCTACAAAGTTGGGATGTCCCGAAAAGGAGGAAAATCTCGAAATTATAAAGAGAAAATATAGAAACATGCAAAATGTAGATAATAAATAAATTATGCAGATAACAATCTCGGAGAGAGATATATATATGTGTTACATTTTTTAGCATATACGCGCAGAATATTTAAAAAAATAACAAAAATAACATCAGAATTTATAATGGCTGCATTCAACAGGATTTTCTTAATATTCGACTGTGATTAGAATTGCTTAAGGATTAACGTAATTCACCGATTAGTTACAAAGATTTAGAGCAAATAAATATTTTGTTTATTTACAAAACTATTGTACTAATCTCTGCAGCGTAATTTAACTTTGTATAAATTATCTTAAACACTAAAAGTACTAATATTAAAAAATTGAGAATTAATTTTCTTATTATTTTATTAAACATTTCTAGACATTTTCATTAGAGCACAGATAAAAAAATACTAATTCTTGTTGAAATAACTTTCGATCCAGATGGTAAACCGTTGATAAATTTTTGTATTACTTTTAAGGGGATGCTGACGTACGAAACTGTCGATATCACAGGTTAGAAAACGTAGAATAGAAAATCCATTTACATGCTTAAAGTGTACACAGAAATAAATAAAGAATACTTATCTTAACCTTAAAAACGGAATTTTTTAAATATACATATATATATATTAAAATATATTTTGTGACATTGTTTCGGTTTTTAGATTTCGTAATTACGACTTTTTCGGGACATTGCATATGTCCACCAAAATATTGAGATGTAGGAATTTTTTTCACCACAATGATTATCCTGGCAAAAATAAAAATTGAAGCATATAAGTTAAATCCAAGGAGAAAATGATGAAGATGTAAATGAAACTTTTACGAAGTGTAAATTGAAACTTGAAGCATTTTAAGAAGTAAATTTTCCTTCTCTCTCTCTCTCTCTCTCTCTCTACGTTTCGCTATTCCAATTTACATTTCTAAATTTCATTTATTTTGTCTTATATTTAATTTACGTTTCAATCATTATTTCCGCCACAATAAAACAAGGAACGAAAGTATTTCGAATGTCACAAACAAATAATCAAACACAAATTATCAAACGCGAGTGTCTTCTTTCTTTATTGAATTATATATATAATTCGTTTTTTGAAAATATGATATAATATATATATATATAATATATATATGTATATAGTATAACAAGAAATATAATTAGACTCATATGACTTCTATATCAAATTTCTTTTCGGCTCTCTATGATGTGCATTTCGGATGAGTAATAGCTTTTTATTAACGCCACAGAATTGTCAATTACTCAACCTTTCCCTTCTCTCGTTACTATAGATTATATTTATACACAGATAATTCAGGTCAATTTTCTTTTTTTTTCTTCATCAATCACTCTTCCTCAATTTCTCGTTAGCCTTTCTCTTAACTAGGATTATACGTAACTCAACGCGTTGCAACTCTCCCCATGTAGCCGAAAAAATCGATGGACATATCCGTTTTTCACAGGAGACTTTCTACTTCGTAATAAATATAAATATATATTTATATCTCTTCCTAAATACTTGTACGAATGCATTATGCTTGTCCGACATCTGGAGAAGTGGCGAATGACGCAAGTCATCGCTCTTTGTCGCTGTAAATTAGCAAAACGAGAGAGAACGCGATCACGGTGAAGTACGTTGTCTAAGCGCGGAGGCACAGCCACTAATTTATCTTACAGTACCGATTACCGATGCGCTATATCATAATGCGCAAAAAGTAATACATGTATGGATATATCGGTACATACTCGCAACTTGTCCGCGTTATCTACATAATTTTCAGAACCGGTCTCATCGACGTAGTTCAGGAATGCGATTGATTAAATCTCCTTGTCTGCATATCGCAACTAAAGTTGATATAGATAGAGAACCAATTAAATTAATGTTAACCTTACATTACTCGCGTGTAAAATACATCCTAGTCTTAAAAATCTACTAAACCTACAGAGTAAAACTTTACAATTGATCGAATACTGTACAAATTGTTTGACAATTAAAAAAAAACTTTTGCACTTATCTTTATCTAAAAAAAGATATATAGAATATGATTAATCTCTTTAATTGTGTTAAATCGTCAAAGAGAACAATGAAAATTAACAACAAGTATCAATATTTGTACAATATTTGTAAACCTATAAAATCAATAAAATATTAATAAACTTTGTTATATTAAAAAAACGTGTCGAAAAAAACAACAAAAAATCTAACCTTTTCTCAAATTAGTTTTACTTAAAAATATTGTAATTTTTTTTATCCGGAACGAGATTCATACAGAAGAGACACTAAACATGTGATAATATATATACCTTACCTTTTTTTTCCAATCATTTGGATGAGCTCTACAATGTCAACGGCAAACCATGGTCATACGCATCATGGTAATGCATCGAGCATGATGCATACTTGCATCATGGTCTCGAGCAAATGTTAATAAAATTTTTTTTAAAAATTACTTAACTATTAAATATGTTAAAATGGATATGTGCTCCTAAAATTTATCAGAGTTACTGTTTTTTTCAAACGAAAATTCTAAATTTGTCCCATTTCCGCTATAAATCAAGATCTTCTCTTAATAATAACCCTAATTAGCATTTTAAAAACTTGTAAATAACTTCTTACGAAAAATATTCTGGTTGAAATAATAGGATTTTAAAATACTAATCAGTATTATCAGATATTAAATAAAATTGACAATTGTATATATATTTACACATGAATATTACTAAGCATCAAAACTTGCTTTGACCGAAAATGGCATTCTTCTCTCTTTTAACCATTTTTCGATTTATTTCACTTAATATTGTTTTGCACTTATCTTTATCAAATGATGTATGAAATATTATCAACTTTTAATTGTAAATCATCAAAGAGTACAATGAAAATTGAGATTTAATGCTGAGGTGTACACTCTATGCGAGTAATTACGTTAAAAAAAGTTCACGCAAATAATGTAAGGTTACATTCCCCATAGCAAAAAATGTCACAGTTACATCACAACAATCATAGTTATATCATGGTGACATGTGAATGTCCGCTTTATCACAATGTAATGTCACAGCAATGTCATGGTGAGGTGCGAATGTCTTTGTAACATGTGTTATTTTGTTATGACAATCTCACAGTGACATCATACTTTCTTCCTGACTTATTGTGACTCCATTGTGACGTAAATGTGACTCTTTACTATGGGAATCAATTTGCAATTTTTTTGCAAAAATTAATTTCTCATCGTTCTGCAATTTATCAACCTCAACGATAAAATTTTGAATGAGAATAATACAGAAATATTTCGATTTAAAATTTAGAATGTTAGTTCACTACCGCTAGTCTTATCTCTATATCACGATTCTATTTAATTGCAGAACAGAAAAACTCATTCGTCAATCCTTTTACCAATACCCCGATTCTGTAAATCTTAACAACAATTCGGTATCGTTATATCATCGTTGAATAGATTTTTTTGCTATTTACGCAACAATATATCTATATCGACACTGTAGATAAGAGTTAAGAGTTACAGAATCTTAGTATACGATGCTAATCGACGCGACCGGTCTCTTGTCAAGGATTAAGTGTCACGTTCATCGTAGTTCTCGTTCGCTTTGCAGTCTAATTATCTAAACATAAGCAACTGTGATAAAAAGATACGCTTAATGGTAAGATACGTTGCTTTCTGTATCGCTAAAGTAACTCCATTTTCACGTCGTTCTGACACACGTATCTCGTGTTCTTATCGGGAAGTAGCGAAAACACAGATCGCGA